TCATATCTCAAGACAGAGGTGCCCCTAGTGGTCCTCCTGAACACCATTAAGTAAGCTTCTATCTCACTGCAGACACTGGGGCACCTGACCTGGACACTCCAGGCTTGTAGGATAGAGCTTTTTCAGTTCAGGCCCTAATTCTATGTTCCATTGTTCAGTTACTAAGTTGCTGTAGTCCTCTGGCTTGGTACTTTCTTTTTTTTTTTTCTTTTTTGAGACAAGAGTTTCATTTTGTCACCCTCAGTTTTGTCACCCTCAGTAGAGCGCCATGGTGTCTTAGCTCACACCAAACCTCAAACTCTTGGGTTCAAGCAATCCTCTTGCCTCAGCCTCCCAAGTAGCTGGGATTATGGGCACCCCCCACAACATCTGGCTATTTTTTAGAGAGGGGGTCTCGCTCTTGCTCAGGCTGGTCTTGAACTCCTGAGCTTAGGCAATCCACCTGCCTCAGCCTCCCAAGTGCTGGGATTACAGGCGTGAGCCACTGTACCCAGCCTAGGGCTGGCACTTTCTTTTCTTTTCTTTTTTTTTTTTAACAGAGTCTCACTTTATCGCCCTCGGTAGAGTGATGTGGCGTCACAGCTCACAGTAACCTCTAGCTCTTGGGCTTAGGCAATTCTCTTGTATCAGCTTCCCGAGTAGCTGCGACTACAGGCGCCTGCCACAACACCTGGCTATTTTTTGTTGCAGTTTGGCCAGGGCCATGTTTGAACATGCCACCCCCAGTATATGGGGCCAGTGCCCTACTCACCGAGCCACAGGGGCCGCCCATGGCCTGGCACTTTCTAATTTCCTCCTACCTTGGCTTGCATCTACCTCACTGCCCCCAGCCCCCACCCACCCACTCTGGACTATGTCAAATAGAATTCCTGTCTGAACTCTCTACCCACTGCCTACAACTGACCAATCCTACCCTGCTCAGCTTAGCACACAACGGGGCCATCACTCCCTCCCTGAAGGGTAAAGACACAGCCAGGTAGGACGGCCATATAGCAACACAGACAATGCTTTGCTCCAGTCAAGTAAAAAGAGGACACAAATTGTATTTGTAACATTGTGAAAATATGCTAAGGGGAAATATCAGGACTTTCTTAATTCAATTTTTTCTATTATCATGGTTCCATTGTTATAGTTCTAAAGTCTAATTCTAACACGATTCAAACCCTGTTTTATTTGGATATTTTCTCTCAACAAGGAGGTCACTCATTATCTTTAATTATGCCAGTAGATTTGCATATATTATTTACTAGCTCCTTTGTCCTTGGGTAGAGACTAGTAAAGAGGAACCAAGTAATTTAAATTCTTTTGACTAGCGAAGAAAAAGAAGTAAATGCTGATCCTCACTTCAATTTATTTTATAAAATTGAAAGAGAAAGGAGAGTTGTAACTATTGGCAAAGTAAAATTGCTATTTAACTGCTTAGACTGAAAACTTTGTTGTGTTATTTAACTTTGTAAAAAGAGTATTAATTTTTTTTTTTAAAGATTATTAGACACTATTTAAAGTATCTAGTCTGGGCTTAAAGCCTTGAAGGACAATTCTAAAAGACCTGAAGTTCACAGAACACAGAGTATAAACAGAAATGCTCATGGCTAAGTTCACAGAACACAGAGTACAAACAGAAATGCTCATGGCTAAGTGAACACACGATTTGCCTGAGGTTATACGATTAGGAGATGGCAGAAACCACACTGGGTCCTTGGCATTCTGACTTCCCACTCTTTCCCACTCTTACCTTCTGGGAGGCTGGATGGAAGATATGACATATGAGCTGGACAGGAAAGAACTAGGACTTCTGGTTTGTGAATAGTTCAATTTAATTCAGGGGTAAGATGGCTGACCTAAAACAAACCTTGTTTAGGCTTCCTTAATAGAAATACAAAGTCTTCCCATAGCCTACCATGACAATCCAAATTCTCTTCCACTCTGAGATTTTCTAATTCTCTCAAACCCTTGAGTTTCTCCCTAAAATACTTCCAGGATGGATTAACTCGAATGCTGAACTTTAGCAAAAGACATTAAAGTGGCATTGTATAATTCTTTTTCTTTTCTTTTTTTTGAGACAGGACCCTCAAGCTGTCCCCCTGGGTAGTGTTGTGGAATCTCAGCTCACAGCAACCTCCCACTCCTGGGCTCAAGCGAGTCTCCTACTCAGCCTCCCAAGTAGCTGGGACCACAGGCGCCCACCACAACACCTGGCTATTTTTTTGGTTTCAGCCGTCATTGTTGTTTGGCGGGCCCAGGCTGCATTCGAACCCGCCACCTGGGGTGTATGTGGCTGGCACCTTAGCCACTTGAGCCAAAGGTGCTGAGCCGCCCTGGTTCTCTCTTTACCTGCCCAGAACAACACTCTTCTCGCCTAAATTTTGCCAGTTAGGCTTCAGGTGAAAGGGCATTGGAATTTTATATACAGTCTAAAGATTTATGCACAAAAAAGACTGGCCCTTAAAAAATGCTTAAATTTTTTTCTTCTTTTTAAGTCGTTTTGTTTAGGGCGGCCTCATAGATCACAGTGGAAAACGTCCAGTATTAGGCATAAGTCTACGTTTACACAACCATTAGTATTTAAATAGACATAATATTGTACCAATAAATGTTTCTTTAGTTTCTAGCAATTTCTTAAAATGTACTATTTCTAAATGGTTGAGTGCAAATGCAACCAAAGGTAAGCCTGGTCTCTCCTGACATCTAGTGTTCCTAACGCATTACTGCAAAATAGCCTGGTTAAGTTTAAACTGTGTATTAGAATGAAAATGCTATGTAGAATAAAAATTTACTCATTAGAAAAAGAAATTTGTTTAAATGGAATAAAATCCCAAGCAAAATAATAACAATTTTTCTCTAAGGAGTGAAAGGCTTTTTTCTCTTCACTCTTTTCATATGAGGAAATTTTCAAATGCAGTATTTCTTTCTAATTCTGCTAAGTAAAAACAGAAAGACCCAGCATGTGTGTAGGGCTGGCCAATTACTGTAGTAGAGGGAGGGGAAATGAGGGACGGGCACTTCCTGCGGTTCTAGCACGCACAGGAACCGGGCTGGAGTACTTTGGCCTGAGCCGTCCCTGCTTTTAGAAGCCATAAGACCATCCTAACACAGGATTGTGGCCTACTCACCTGGTTGGGAGCATCTCCCTATTCTGCACCCAACACGGCACAAAATATCATGGGTCAGGTCTCAAATGGTCTGAAATTGTAGACCCTCAAAATGTCTAACTGAACAGAAGTGAGAGCAGGGCCTGCTCGTGAAGCCTGACGCTACCTTTTCATTTGGGGTATTAGAGAAGGAGCAGAGGTTACAAACTTTGGCAACTGTTCTCCAAAAACCCTTAGAAACTGAAATCCGCTCTGGGGGAGGAGGGTGTACATTAGCTGGCTCTTAAGAAAGCCGAAGCCCACACTCACTTAACCCTTCCTTCTGTTTCCTTTCCCTTTTCTCATCCACACCTGCTCCCTCACTCACACTGGGCCTTTCAGCTCTGTCCCTTTCCTATTGACAAAGAAGTGTGTGACCAGCCGTCCCCACTCCTTCAGTGGCCACCCATGTCTTCTGAGAGAATTCCGCACTATTACTCAGCAACGTCAAGATGCATTTCTTGGCTTGGCGCCTGTGGCTCAAG